AAATTTATATGTGGCAAAGCTATGCTTAATGTTTGCATCAGGAGAAATGTCAAAAATCTGTTTTATAATCAAAAAGTAGTAGTAAAGAAACTACCTTCTTTTTTGTATCATGGAACTACCTTTTTTTTATCATGATTGTAAGTGAATTTGTTAATTCTCTCTCAGTTATGTTACCGTTTTTGATTATAACCTTTTTTGATTAAAATCACAATGACCTTGTACTTTAAAGAATATTTCATTTAATATTGTTTTTTTCAGTATAAAGGTCATCCATTTTAATACACATTTTTTCGTGTAAATTACTGAAATATTTTTATGTTTATAATTGAGAAATATAGTATTTTTGCGTACTATATTTTTTTCCAACAGTATATAGTACGCCGACCGAAAAAATAGTACAATACTATATATTATAGCACAGTTGGCAACCCTAGCGCTAGCTCATTAAAATACATGGGTGGAATTGTTGTAATTCATAGCTCTGCGGATTCGCAACGTGTGAATCGCGCTAATGTGTGCTTCGCTTGAAACGTAACTAGCCATATAAGTTAAATAATAAACATTTTTATGCAATTATTTACCAAGGTGCGTTCATGAAAGAATGCGGATAAACTGATAAATTTAAGAAATTTATCCCTTTATCACTTTAGATGAAGAGCCCTAATAATTTGTGTTAACATTTTAACAGCTTGGGATCTTCTGGAGTCAAACCAATAACATCATGCACCTCTGCAAACTCAGCTACAGCCAAAGGTATGTAAACGTGCATTTCTCACAATCATTCAAACAAATTTTATTTCAAAACGAAAACACATTTCTTTGAAAATAATTTAAAATCGCACACACGGAAGAACCACCAAACATTGAAAAAAAAATGATACTTTTTCTTTCTGTCGATTTTAGAACTGGTTCAGAACTATAGAATTTATAGTTCGAACCAGGGTGTCCAGATTGTTTAAAAAAAGCGCAATTTCTGAAAATTTTTTAACAAATTTTTTGTTTTAAAAATGAGATCTTGTTATAATATAGTTTTTAAAACCAAAAACGAATATAATACCTTCAGACTGTAATAATAAATAACACAAATCACTTATATTATACATAGTGTTGTACAAACCATTTTTTTAAACGAATACTTTTTAAAAGTATTGGTTTCAACACATTTTGCAATAGGACTGCGCAATTATTAAATTTATTATAACTCATATTAATTGATTAATCGCACAATCCGCTTTTAAGAACTAGGCGCTAAAAATTAAATAAATACCTATAATAAGGCCAGATCAGCTATTTCCACAATTTCTTCAAAATCACCCATAGTGTCTGAATGATTTACATTTCTGTTGTTGTCATATATTGAGCTATTTAACCTTGATAACATACTGTTTGATATTGGAAACGTTTTGCAGCAGAAACTATTAGCCCTCATATAACATTTTATTCGAACTATTGAATTAAGGCTTTCCAACCTCATCCTATTTCGAATCTTAGTTTTTGTTGAATTCGTTACGGAAAAAACGCGCTCAACAAAGCATGTGAGTGCGGCAAGGATAATAATATGAATTCACTTATATTTCCAAAAATTTTATTGCATGTTGCGGTTTTCACTCCGTAAGCAGTTATCCAAAATTCTTCAGAGTCGGATGGAATGATTCTGAGAAAAGTTATTCCATGGGAAAGTTAAAAGATTTAAATAATCAGTGTCTGCTGCTTTTCTTTCCTTCAAAGTCAAATAGTGAATTGGCTGTCCCTGAAACTCGGCCTCTTGTGATTCAAACACTTTTCTGGTGACAAGATCAAAGCTTTTTTAAAAGTATTTAATTGACTAGGTAATCGTTTCAAAAGTTCTTCGTTTAGGGCGATTAAAACTGTTTGACAGTCTTTTAATATGCTTTTTAAGTCAAGTGTATCACGCAGTTCCTTAGCCTCTTCTGTAAAATTATGGTGGAAAACTAAGTTTTATATATTTTTATAATTGGAAAAAATTTATTTGAAGCGAAAAAATCGTCAAAAATTACCGATGGCGATTTCCTAAATTTTTATGCGCAAATATAATAAAAAAAATCACCAAATTGGCGCGAAATTGCCAAATCTGGACACTCTGGTTTGAACTATCGAAAAAGGGATCCAGCGGAGGGCAGTTGACACTTCCTAGGACATCGCCATGTTAAATTTTCCAGTTGTTTGCATGCAAAAGAGATTTATCGCGAGCCAGTACTGAGTCTAAATGGACTAGAAGCGCACCAGTTCAGAGCTAGAGATTTCCCCACAGAAATTGAATTCATGAAATTGTGTTTATGCAGCCAATTTTAACCCAAATTCATGAAATCATTTCGTGAATTAGCCTATGCATTAACTTAGTAATAGTATGCCTGCGTATCGCGAGAACTTTCACCGCGAAGCGCAGACTGGCTCATCGTGCATTTCGCCGTTTTATGTCTGCAAAGGCTATGTCACATACTAGGTTTGTTCCTCGCGAGCCCGCGGGATACCGCAGGTGCCCAAAACAGCCGCAAAAGCATTCCTCACGTTAGAAAAATGGGTAATAGAGAGCGAATATTTTCCACTTTGAGATCGTAAGTATCTTCTTCTTTGTGCACGAAACAGTCCGAACTTTTTTCCGGGCACCAATGTGCAAAAGGGCAATTTGAAATAACAGCTGTTGATGCTTACATCCGAATGCAAATTTTATAAAACACAAAAGTGGAAAATACCAGAGAATTTTCAGAAAATGTAGTTGTTTGATAATTTTATTAGTCATATAAGATAAATACACGTAAAATCATTGTTTAGATATGATTTGTTGATTCCGGGCACGAAATGTGGTTTTTTGCGTTCTTCGCTCTCTGGGCACTTCTGGCACGTGTTGACACATTTTGACACATGTGAGAGAGTAACTTATTTTTACGCTCTAATTACCGGAGAAAGCCGGAAAGCGTGTGGAACAAAGCTACTGTCTGTGTAAAATTCAAAAATTTTTATTTTGGTCGCCGATGCGCAGACCAAGTGTGTTGTGCGTGGTGCAATTTTGTCATACTTGATTAGTTTTCATGAAGTGTAGACGTGCGCGGATAAAAATTAGGAAAGAATTTTTGTTAAAATTCTTCAATATTCAACAACAATTTTTATTGAGCTCGAGGCAAGAATAATTTGAAAAAATGGTAGAAGTGATAGCTATTTCGGAAATCACCACATTTCCTCATCATACTTCTTTCAGTAGGATTCAAACCGACGATCCCACTGACGTTGCCTACGCACTGTGCTAAATTCGCCTTGTTAATTCTTGTGGCTTATTTCCACTATTTCACTTGTTAAACCAACTACAATCAAGCGCAGCTATTCCGCTGCAATTCACTTGATCATGTAGTTGATGGTTTTGTTGGTTTCTGTTAATATTTCTATTATTAGAATGTTTAACTTTTAGGTGTGCTCGTCCTTAAGTTATTTGTTTTTGTTATTTTATGGGGTTATAACAATTATATTCAACAATTTTTATTGAGCTCGAGGCCGTTTTTTAATGAAAACTTATTGTGGAAAAGCAACAATAATTTGAAAAAATGGTAGAAGGGATAGCTATTTCGGAAATCACCACATTTCCTCATCAGACTTCTTTCAGTAGGATTCGAACCACACACAGTGCGTAGGCGTAGTGATGGGGAAATGTGGTGATTTCCGATATAGCTATCACTTCTACAATTTTTTCAAATTGTTGTTGCTTTTCCACAATAAGTTTTCATTAAAAAACGGCCTCGAGCTCAATAAAAATTGTTGAATATAATTGTTATAAGGCCATAAAATAACAAAAACAAATTCTTCAATATGTTAATTTTTGTAATGCCTGTATGGTGTACGGTGAAATTTGTTTTCTGCGGAGAGCGGTGAAAGTATTCACGCTGCGCAGACTCACTAGGTTCTTCCCCTAACAATCCGGACCGGATACGGTAGTTAGAGAATAAAAAAATTTGCTCTCAAAAATGGAACATAATCCAGAAGTACGGGAACGCAAAAACCACACTTTTTGTGCCCAGAATTTGAGAAACAGATGCTTCACGTTGTTTTTGTTTTTGTCACTTAAGCTGATGCCACAAAACTTTTGCTTCGCTTTACGTAACAGATTCGCTTTGACAGATAAGATGAATTGTATGAAAATGCACAAAGCATGCCACATAGATCATTGAAGCTGCAGCGCGAAGCGAAAAGATGGCCAACTCCCATCTTTTTGCGCGCTTTGACAATCAGCCGGTTTAATATTTATTTTGTTTCGTCCAAATTCGAGTATTCATGCAGAAACATAACTCAATTACATTGCTGATAACTTTAAAGCAAAATATCTTAAATCCACAGCAATTTTGACGAGTAAAAGAGCAGTACAAAATTGATTTCTTGGCGTTCATTGTGGCATACCTTTTGCGTCTGGCGCTTTGCTGGCAAAGTTATAAATGTCACGCAAAGCTACAAAGTTTTATCTGGCATCAGCTTTAAATGCAAACTCTTGGAAATTGAATTTTGGTTTCACAAATTTGGTTTCAAGTATATAAAGATTGAAAATACATCAACAGGCCATTCACTATGTCTAAAAAGCACTAAGTAAATGCAGGCCGCATGTAAACACAACAGCTGATATGCATTTTGACACTTTATCCATTTTTACCAGAACAAAAGTCCGAACTGTTTCGGACAGGAAGAAGAAGACACGATCCAATACGTTCCAATTTTCGCTCTCTACCACCCATTTTGTTGAGAACGGGAATGATTTCTGGGCTGTTTAGGGCACCCGCGGGATCCAGCGTTGCGTACGGGAAAGAACCTACTGTGGGGTGTATTTGGCCTATTATGTAAAGTAACTATCGATAGTTTTTTTAAACCATCGATGTGCTGGAAAATTTAAACTATCGATAGAATAATCGATAATTTGCACTTCTTACCATCCCTAATACCTATAAATTTGTTTGAAATTGTACTGTAATGTTTAAAGGAAAAACGATTATCAAGCTATAAAAATGCAATGTCGCGCCTGCACCAAAAACAAAAGCCAAATCTTGGTTGATATGGCTGTCCCATGCACAGATGATGGCAAGTGCCTTTTCGATTACTTCAACGAATGTACACAATTACATGCGTCGCCTAAGGACAGTTTTCCTAAAACTCTTTGCAAAATGTGTGCTCAAAAGCTGCAAATAGCCTACAACTTTCGGAAATGTGCTCGGCAGTCGGAGGAATTTTTTCACAAATTTCTAATTCCGAATGGAATGGAGACCGAAGCGATTATTTTTCCACCTAGCGATCGTTTGTCTCTTAAGGTAATGAAATCATTCTAGGTACATTTATTTGTTCTGGCGAATATGTAGATTTTGCTGATTCCTACTCTATTTGAATAGGAGGAGGTTGTAGTAGAACCTGACTTCCCCGGTGAGAATATCTGTGCAGAAAATTTAATAGTGGAAACTGAAGAGATGGAAACGCGTCTTAGTCCAGAAGCTATAGAAACTGAATGTGTGTATGCTGAGTTATTATGCGAGGTATCAGAATATAAGCTGGAAAAAGAGGCGCTAAGTGAATCCGAAGAAGAAGATAAGGATTCCAATATAGAGAACTATCAAGATACAACAACACCAGAGAGTTACTTTGATGCGACAGAAGAACAATGTGGCGATTTTTACTCTAGTGAATTTATGGACATCGAAAAGGTGGAACGGCAAGAAAATGCAGAGGATATCAAGCCCATGGGTGAAAATGAAAATGAGTTAGTATGCGAGCAATCAAATGACATATCCGAAATATTGTATTTAAATGAATCGAACGATGAGAAATCACTTTGCAATGAAGAGGAAGAAGAAAGTGAAGATGAAACTTTAGAAAGAATGACCTATCTTTGTGAGCCACAAAATGAAATTGACGATAATTATTCAGCAAAAACTTTCGTTGGTAAACGTAAAAAAATAAATGAGTCCAAGCAAAATGGAAGGAAACCGATGAGAGGTGAAGCCGGTCAGGATACTGCTAGAGCCAATAACAAGCAACAGGAAGTGCAAAAAACAAGCCCGAATAAAAGGACAAATATAAATGTGAAGAAAAAGCAGAAACTTTTATGTTCATTTTGCCGTGAGTACTATGTAGTAAAAACTTTGGGTTCTCTTCTGGTTTTTGCTTTGGAGTAAATTTTTCGATTTCATTTAGTCTACATAGATCTTCGATTTTTCCAAATGAATTGCAATTGGACCAAGGCGAATTCATACAGGGTGCCAACGGCAAAACAAAAACAAAAAATTATTAAGAAATTATACTCACGTTGACAATCAGAACACAAAAGATTTACAAAAAACACATCGTTTTGGCAATTTCCGCAATTCGCTTCGAAATCATCTGCTCCTGCAACACCACCTTGTATGAATTCGCCTTGAATCAAACGTTATCGAACATCAAAACGTAGGATACCGCCGATCTAAGCGGGGTAAGGTCGCCGAAACAATAGCCCTTGGTCGGGTAAAACCCGAGTCATTCCGGTACGTAGAACCGGCTGTCGTGGGAATGACCCTGGCTCAATTACGGTCTGAATACTGTAGCCGCCTCAACAGCTACCTGTCCAGACTCGACTCCAATATCCCCAATGAGTGCCCGGCATGTGGAGAATCCCCTCACGACACCAACCATCTCTTCACATGCCAGCTCAATCCGACTCAACTAACACCCCTCTCGTCCGACCCCATTGAAACAGCTCGTTTCCTGGGCCTCCCGTTAGTTGAGCTTGACGAAAATGATTGAATGTTGACCCGAAATAGGCGGGGCTTAGTAGTTCCGCTGCAACAACAACATCAAAACGTACTGTTTCGGCCAGTTTCGGCTTGAAATAGATTTGACCAAGGGGAACTCGTACGTGCAGAATGCGAAAAATAATTTTGATCAAGTTTTTGCAATTTTCTTTAGTTTGTTTAATTTTTATTATATTTTTTTAACCTACTTCACAAATATTTCTTCTTCAATATTTTTTTTATGTATGTTTCCGCATAACTTTGGACCACGTTAATGGATTTCTATAATTATTATTTTTTTTTTAAAGAAAAGGTGTTACCTCTCAGGTGGTCCCATTCTATTGTGGTGAAACACTTTGATTTAAAAGCACTTTACACGTAAAACATAATTCACGTTTAATTTTACATTTTATACTACGTTCAAATTGACGAGCTAAACATGTTAAATGGGCTTGAACCAGTTAAATGAACAAAACATGTTCATAAACAAGTTAAATCGCATGCAATTGTTGGAAAATTTAACCAGTTAAATCATTTAACTCGTTTGAAAACCAGTTCAGCGCAGAGTTGTATCAGAAAGCTTTCTGCTCCGACCAATCAGAAAGACCCAAAATCTTTCATTTGACACGCCAACGTTCAAAAAATTTATATTCTGAAAAATATTAAAAATTAAAAATTTTCAAAAAATATCAAAATTGTATGCATGTCTGCCCACCAAAAAAGAGGCCAAGGCGGTAATTAGTTATTTCCCAAGAGGTCTCATCGAACGCAGAGATAAATAGTGCATACGAACTAAACATTTTGAAGTCTCTAAGTTATCCGTATGCGTTAATATCATGAAGCACACATTCGCACAAAACAAATTGAAACACAAAAACTTGATTTTGAATATTTTTTTTTCGAATTTTTATTGGTAATCAAACAACCGTCAAAGTTAACTCTAAATGTTCTATGTGGACGATTGTGTCAAGGCGCATCAATACAAGGTGGTGTTGATTGATCAGCTGGTTGGATATTTTTGTCTCTACACTAGTACAGGAGAATGTCATCCAAGACGAAGCGGCGAAACTTTAGGATGTCACCAAAAGAAAATGATGAAAATTATCTCCTATTCCCTTTCGTTTTGACATCCTCCTGTACCAAAAAGCAATAACAAAATGCACGGGACTTTTACTTATATGCAATCAACACCACCTTGTATGGATGCGCCTTGGATTGTGTTTTCTAAAAAGCTCTTTTTCATTTAACAATTTAAATGGGTCCAATTTGAACGTAATATTACTGTTCAATGATTTTTCAAAAATTTTCCTTTTTTTATTCATTCATCTTTGTGGGCTGCAAAAATGAAAATATTCTTTTCGGGAACAAATAAATTAATTTTTCATAATTGAAAAGTTTTTCATTATCGATTTACAACAAAAGTGTGGTGAAACTCTTTGATTTAAAAGCACTTGACTTCGTGAAACACTATTCCCTTTTACTTTTGCATTTTACTGTTCAATGGTTTTTCATAAATTTTTTTTTTTTTTATTCATTCATCTTTGTGAGCTGAAAAATGAAAATTTTCTTCGGGAACAAATAAATAAATTTTTTATATGTAATTAAAAAGTTTTTTCATTATCGATTTTCAACAAAAGTGTGATGAAACACTTTGATTTAAAAGCATGAACCAATTATAACAGATCTGACCGGTTGAGAAGCAGCCAATTGTAATAGCAATTGAGAAACAAGTGTGTGACGTTCATAATTTTGAAGCTTGCTATTTCTGTTTTGCTTCTTTCTTTATGTGTATTTTGTCGCTGGTTTATTTCAGTGATTTTTAAGCGATTTTCAATAAATTTTTTGTGCAAATGTAATTAAAATGAAGTGCGCGGTGATTGGTGGCAAAAACACGTACAAAATAATAATTTGGTTAGCACAAACATGTGCTGCAAAATTGCTTGCATTTTTTTCTTTATGCTTCGTCTTCATATTCTTTGTTTACTTTTCAAAAAAAACAACATGGCGCCGAAATTACAAATGTCAGCCAGAAAATTACTTTTTTCTTTTGCTTCATCTTGTCAGATCTTGTGTAGTTGGATCATGATTTAAAAGCACTTTACTTCGTAAAACATAATTCACTTTTACTTTTACATTTTACTGTTCAATGATTTTTCAAAAATTTCTTTTTTTTATTCATTCATCTTTGTGAGCTGTAAAAATGAAAATATTCTTTTCGGGAACAAATAAAATAATTTTTTATACATAATTAAAAAGTTTTCATTATCAATTTACAATACTATAATAAAAAGTTTGCTCAGAAAACAGTCAATATTTGAAGTACGCTTATTTGAAAATTTAAATGTAAACAATTCGTATATTTGTAGACCCTACCAGGTACCCTACCAGACACGACTAACGCAGTCTCCAATACATTTAAATATTTCACCAATACACTCAAAGAACCATGTCAAAATTTACACACGTACAGGAAACATCCCAACAAGCAAAATAAACTTAAAGAAAGTTTTTTTTAAGTTTTCAATTATAAACATTAAGCTTACAAAACGTTGATTTTTTGTTTATAAAACGCTTGAAAGTAAGCGTAATATAATCGAAAAGGAACATTGGTTATAAGCGTAGAAATATAAACTTGTAATAAATGTTCAAAAGAAAGCTTTTTATAAGCGTAAAAGTGTAAACTTATAATAAAGGTTCAAAAAAGGTTTTATATAAGCGTATCAATATAAACTTTCCAAACATTTTCAAAAGAAAGCTTTTTATAAACATTTTTATAACCCTTTATTTAAAGATATTTCATTAAAACCTCATACATAGATTGCTTAACATCTAGAAACTAAACGAAATGCGAATTTTCCGCGGACTCATCTACAGTCGCGAAAATATAAATAGGGAATAGACATTTTAGCATACAAATTCACAATAACACATACAAATTAAGCATAAAAAAGTTAATTATTACATCTTGTTGCGTGCTTTCAATTACTTGCGGTTATTGGCAAATTGGAAAAGGGACATCGATGCAGCTATATATTGCGCTTTATCGCTGCCATTCTCATTGATGAACTTTTCTGAAAAAAATTTAATACATTTTTAATTGAATGTTAAACTAATAAAGGATAAGGGGAACTCATCATTTGAAGACTCGAATGCTCCACCGATTAGCGCAGCGGGTCCTGGATTGGATTTTCTTGTTTTACCGCATTGGTTTTATTTAATTTTTTCCTTTAATAATATATTTTAAAAAACGTAAACACGTCACTTACGATTGAAAAAATTTTATATTTACTACTTCATGTCGTTGGCATTTACATTTCATTTATAAGTTTAAGTTATTTATAAACATTCGCTCTCAAAACTTATTAAAGGTTTGTTTGAAAAAACTTTTAATAAGCTTAATATTAAAAATGCTTATTTAACGCTTATTATAGCAAACTTAATTTAAGTTATTTTTAAAAACGTTTACTGAAATGCTTGTTGGGATGTTACACATAACATATCTATAACACGATATCCTATTAGATTTTTCATGTCGCCCTTAGGAAATTAACGTAAACATTCTATGGGAGTGTAACATGCATTTACCAGTTTGGTGCACTGCGGTTGTAGTTATTGGACGATATTTTCACGATATGCCTTTGCACTAATGCATTTGAGAACATACCCACACTTTGATCATTACCTCTCATCTGATGAAATAGCAGGTAACATCTTTGATGGTACTGCATCTGGATCTTTGCATTACTACTTGCATAAATGATATCATTCGATTTGAAGTGCAGAGCGCAAACTTTCGATGATCTAGTTAGTTTAACACCACACGCATTCAGTATTGGTTGATATTTTATCACAGTTGTCGTTTTCTTTAACCCGAATGAAATCCAATTTCAATATTTTCTTATAGTGGGAAATATTTTCAAGTCACATAAAATAAAACAACGAGAAAAACAAAATTCCTACCAAATCAGGCTTGCAGCGTAAGCGATTATAACCGGATGCAGTTCCTACATAAGTCATATCTGGTTCCAAACACAACTTTGAGTGAATAATGGTGGGCTGATTTTGGAAAATGGACCCATAAATTAGGGGTAAATTCAAATATACCACTCTTACAGTGGAGACCTCCAAAGTTTTTATGAAATATGTACCCACAGTTATATATCGACGCTCGAACTAATGCAGGAAAGGTTTATGCAGATAAGCAAGGCCGTTTTTCAACGGTATAAAATGTATATACACATATTCTTACATACATATTTATCAAAATATTCAGAATGACGAAATGAATTGGTTCAGTCGTGTTTAGATATTTTAACGAAAGTCGGTGCCGAAGTTGCCTTTGGTATAATTTAG